CACATGCAAACCACCACTGGTCACATGCAAACCACCATTGGTCACATGCAAACCACCACTGGTCACATGCAAACCACCACTGGTCACATGCAAACCACCACTGGTCACATGCAAACCACCACTGGTCACATGCAAACCTCTAATTGTCACATACAAACCACCACTGGTCACATGCAAACCACTACTGGTCACATGCAATCCACCAGTGGTCACATGCAAACCCCCACTGGTCACATGCAAACCACCACTGGTCACATGCAAACCACCACTGGTCACATACAAACCTCCAATGGTCACATGCAAACCACCACTGGTCACATGCAAACCTCCAATTGTCACATACAAACCACCACTGGTCACATGCAAACCACTACTGGTCACATGCAAACCACCAGTGGTCACATGCAAACCACTACTGGTCACATGCAAACCACCACTGGTCACATACAAACCTCCAATGGTCACATGCAAACCACCACTGGTCACATGCAAACCACCATTGGTCACATGCAAACCCCCATTGGTCACATGCAAACCCCCACTGGTCACATGCAAACCACCACTGGTCACATGCAAACCACCACTGGTTACATGCACCACCACTGGTCACATGCAAACCACCACAAGGTCACATGTAAACCACCACTGATCACATGCAAACCACCACTATATGAACACTGTACTCTGAGTTAAGATTATTTAGATATCCCATAATGTACTGTAAAACATGTCTTTTTCGCGAGCATGTCTTTTTCGCGAATTTAGCGAGAGAACTGATTTGCTAATTCAAGATGTCGCTAATGACTTTATTGTCAATTCAAAATAGCCGCCAAACAAAGAAATCAACAATGACAAGAGAGATTCGCTAAATCAACATTTCGCTATTACGTCATTTTACCACAATTCGCTAAAATTGCATGCCGCTTTTTCAACATGTTTTACAGTACCTCAGCCTTTGTCTGATGACATCATCGTAGTCTGGTATATGAACCCGCATAAAAAATATGCCACGAAAAAGTTTGTTTACACAAATCAACGCTCATAGACAGCATTTTATTTTTTATTTTTTTTTCTGAAATAGTCATTAAATTCATAATTTTTTCATGATAACCAAACTTTGTTTCACTTTTTCTAAAATTCTCACAAAAAGCCTAATTTTAATAGACACACATGGTGGTAAACATTAATATTTTTTTCTGGCCTAATTTTCTCGCAATATTTAACATTATATGTCATTTTTAGTATTCATAAATCCAACAATATTTTAATAAATAATATAATAAATATTATATCTTGAAAATAATATTTTTTTCCTGATTTCAATAAATATCATCATTGATGAAAATTATGCAAATATACGCATGAACACAGTTGTTCAGTTAAGCGTTACAACTAAAAGATGAGACTAGTACTGGCAACAGGTGTTTTTGGTAACCATGGCAATTCTAATATTTCGCTTCTGGCTATGGTCAACATGGTCATCACGTACAAATAAAACCTTCTATTGTATAGCAAACAGTGTGTTATTGTGTCTGGTAGTGGAACGTAACTCAGCAAGGGGTTCACCAACAGACACTGGGGGCGGTGGGGGTAAACTATACTGTGCAAATTGTGTTTCTTTATTAATTTTTCCTTATCACAATTCATTTTTGTCACAATCCAGCTTAATTTATTAAAATTTCCAAATCTTATTAATCCTTCATCATCATTGCACTCTTAACCTTTCCATGAAAGATATCAATGAAATCTGTGATCAAAATCTATAATGCATATTCCACAAAATCAAAATTAAAAATTAATATCTGATCCGAATATTGAAATGTAAAAATTAACACGATTTTTGGTCAAATGACCACTCCGGCGAAATAGAAATTTGTGCATATTAAACATACTGTAATTAACATTATTATTCCAATTCTCTTTGCAATATGAACTTTGACCTATTAGTCTGATCAATCCAGGCATTAGCTAAAGCCCCAACATTACAGTTGCGCTAGATAACAGTCTATATAAAAGCGTGTAGCAACCATACGGATTGTCCACTGTTAAATAAATGTAGTGTTCAATACCGCTTTGATTGACAGCCTTGGAATTGAATGTACATCAAAACATGTATTAAATCCACTAGTACATATGGTACTTGTCAACAAATCCCTCAAAGTCCTTGTTACGTTTCTATAGCTTAACGGCAATCAATCGATGTACATGTGTACACTGGAAATCTGTTGGTTGTAAACTCTCTAAATCCTGTTCTGGTCATTTAGAACATGTCGGACTACAAGCTACAATTCTTTGTTCAAAGTATTCATTTTATTTTTCCAAATATTTTATTTCATAATGAGTGTCATGAGTTGATAACCATGTTGACTAACAGAACACTGGGGGGG